CCAAAGACAAGCAGTCAAGCGATAGCAATTTTATTCTCGGAGAGGTTTGGTTACACTAATTCTTGAAACTTGTGAATGTTAGCTTCTATGCCGAAAGAACTTTGCAGATGTGGCCAAGGATCTTGAAATGAAGATATGAAACAAATAATCCAGGCGGGCCTTATATGAAATCTTAGGTCTTTATTAAAGTGAGGCCAAGGGAAGGGTGTTAACGGCTCAGATGAGTCAATGGCTGCAGATTGGAAGGGTACAGCCATAAGCCAAGGAATGCAAGAAATACAGGAGTTGGGCCAGGCATTGGTGGCGCACACCTTTGATCCCAGCATGTGGGAGGCAGAGCCATGAGGATCTCTGTGAGTTTGAGGCCAGCCTGGTCTACAGAGCGAGTTCCGGGACAGGCTCCAAAACAATGAGAAACCCTGTCTCCATAAAACAAAAACCAAAAAAACAACAACAAAAAAAAAAAAAAAAAAGGAAGGAAGAAAGAAAAATACTAGCTTGCCAACACTTTGACTTTGGCCCAGGTAAATAGAATTCAGACTTTTTTTTTTTTCCTTTTTTTGGTTTTACGAGACAGGGTTTCTCTGTATTGTTCTGGAGGCTGTCGGTCCAGCCTGGCCTCGAACTCACGGAGATCCGCCTGCCTCTGCCTCCCGAGTGCTGGGATTAAAGGCGTGCGCCACCACCACCCGGCTAGAATTCAGACTTCTAAATTCCAGAACTATGAGAATAAATCTCTGTTGTTTTAAACTGTCATGTGTGTGGGTTAAACCTTTGCCTTTTCAGGCTAAAGTGTAGTAACAGTTTTCTAAAATTGCTAGATGTTCATGCTTCATATCCATTGGACATATTTTTCCCAATTAAACTGGTTGGGTTTGCAAACAACTCCTTGCTGGGATTCTGCCTAGAGAAGAGTGAATGAGAGACCAAACACATACCCTTGAAAAAAACTTACTTTACCAATATCAACTGACCCTCGGGTTACTCATTTTCTTGGGAAACATTAGGGTCATCAAATCCTCGGATAGTTCTGGAATTTCTTTGCCATAGACTTCGGTTTTCAGAGTTACATTTCTCAGAGGCCGGGGTAAAGGTGAATCCTGTTTTAGAGATTCCATGGCCCAGGCATCTGGAAGCCCATCTGAGACAGAGGATGTATCTAAGAGAGGATCCAGAAACAAGTTGACCCTATGAGATGGCTTATGTTGTCCCCCTCCTTCTACATCAAATTCCTATAGAAGATAAATTTCACCAGCCACATCCAGCTTGATTTATTATTTTGTATGTATTTTGTCTGCATGTGCATCTGAAGGGCACTAGATCCTTAGAACTTGAGTTATAGATGGATGTGAGACTTGTAAATGCTGGGAACCAAACCTAGGTACTCTGGAAGAACAACAAATATTAACCAATGAACCATCTCTCTACCCCCTAATTACAGTTTAAAAAGAGGAAAGTTAATGGACCTTTCCCTCAACATTAACTTGTTCTGACATATTTCTTAAATATTTATAGATTGCCCATATCTTCCTGCACTAACAGACTAGAGTACAGAACAGGAATTGTGTGTGGCAGGCATCCATATTCATTTATAGTAGGCTTTGTAGCAAAGACAGAATTTCTGTAAGAAAACAATCTATAAACCACACTGGCCTTGAACTCAGTTGTCCACCTGCCTCTACCTCCCTAGTGCTGGGATTAAAGATATGTAACCACCACCCTCTGGCTAACAATATTAATTTGTAATACCTATGCATGATGCTTTCCAGTTGAAAACCCGAACTGGGCTCACAAGAGCTCAAAGACTGGTTTGTGGATGGTCACAGCACAGGATGTCCTCACCCAATCATCCAAAATGTGGTCCAGGGTTAGAGATATGGCTCAGTGATTAGAAGTGCTCACTCCTAAAGAGGACAGGAACTGAGCACCCAGCACCCACTGTGGGCAGTTCATAGCTGCCTGTCCCATGCCCTTTTCTTACCTTCTAGGACACCCACACACATATGTCATTCATTTACACAGATACACATAAATAAAAATAAATCTTAAAACCTTTTCACTTTGGCAACAAATAGACTAAATTTGGAACAATACAATACACAGAAGATTGTCATGACCCCTTGTACATCTTTTGCTTGCTATATAGTGAATCCATTCATTCAAAACTGAAAGCATGGCTAATGCAGATCATTCTCTAGGATGCATAAAACACTGCTACCTGATTCTGATATATATATGCAAGGAAACTGAGTTTAAGTGAAATAACTTTACATTGTGGCTTAGATTCTGCACTTTGATGAAGCAAATCAACTTGCCTCCTAGAGCTTGAGAAAATCTCATAAACAGGATGACACTCAAAAGCTTTGTGGTGATATATTTTTTATGATTTATTAAAGATTAAAGCTTGCCTGACAATTCAGAAAGCAAAGTCAGCCTCAAGCTATAGCGATTAGGCAGTGGTGATACACACCTTTAATCCCAGCAGCCAGAAACTAGGCAGTGGTGGTACACTCCTTTAATCCTAGGACTCAGGATAAGAGGTAGATGGATCTCTGTGAGTCCAAGGCCATCTGGATCAGCACAAACTTGATCCAGTCCTAAAGAGAAACAGCTCCCACAAAGATGATCTCAGCACCTGGGATCACAAGCCTTTAATCCCAGAACTAGAGGATATAAAAGACAGGAGAGCAGGGTCTTCAGTAGTCAGCACTCATTCTCCAGCCACACTGAGGATAGAAGACACTGAAGTCTCAGGCTTCTCCAGCCACGCTAAGGAGAGGATACAGTCTGAGCTTTGGTGGACCCAGGATCATTGTGTGTGTGTGTGTGTGTGTGTGTGTGTGTGTGTGTGTGTGTGTTACAAAGCTTCATAATGTGGATTGAACAAACTAATCTGTGAAGAGCCAAAGGGGAAAACTAACTAAAGCAGTGGTTACTGAAGTCTAGGTCAATTGTTCTTTCCAGGATACAAATTAGAAGAGAGCTCTTGGACTCCAGACCAACAGCTGGGAGGCCAGCATGGGACTGATCCAGAACCCCTGAATATGAAAGTCAGTGAGGAGGCCTGAGCAACCTATGGGGTCCTGAGCAGTGGATCAGTGTTTATCCCTCGAAAACTATTAGACATCATGTGTCCATAACACAAAGAGGGATGCTCTCTCAGCCTGGACTCTTAGGGGAGTGCCTGGACCCTGCCCTGAGTGAAATGACAGACTCTAGATATCACCTATGTGGAAGGAAGTGGGGATAGAGTGGGAGGTGGGGGGGATGGTGAGGGGGTGCGGGAGGAGGGGAGGGAGAGGGAACTGGGATTGACATGTAAAACAAGCTATTTAAAATTAAAATAATTAAAACAAAACAAAAAACAAACAAACAAACAAATTAGAAGTTAAATAGCCAGGGGCTGGAGAGATGGCTCAGTGGTTAAGAACACTAGCTGGTCTTCATGAGGTCCTGAGTTCAATTCCCAGCAACCATTTGTACATATTATACATAATAAATCTTAAATAGCCAGGCACGGTGGCACATGCTGTTAATCCCAGCACCCAAGATGCAGACAGGCAGCTGTGAATTCAAGGTCAGCCTGGTCTACTCAATGAGTTCTAGGACAGCCAGGGCTATATAATAGAGACTACGTATCAAAAAGTGAGCACTAGGGTTGGCAGATTTTTCTGAAGCTTGGGTCCCATACCCTGAGCCAACTAAAAATGAGTCTTAAGTGCAGCCTTTGTACTAAATCTTGTTTGTCCTCAGTTGTTAGGACTGAGTATCTCCAAATTCATAAACTGAAAACTTACCCCTCAATATGATATTAGGAACAAGTGTCTGGAAGGTTCAATCATAGACCACTCAAGAACAGGATTTTATAGAAATTTTTTTCTCTGTTTTCTGCCATAAGAACATACCTGACAATAACCAGACAGTGAGCCTCTCCAGACTGTAACCTCCAGAACTGTGAGAAATAAAATTCTGTTATTTAAACTATACCTGTCTATTTGTTATTGCAACCTCAAAATAAACGCCATGTGCAACCAGGACTGAACATATTGCAGAAGCAGACTTTTCTAGTTGGAACTCCTAGAAAAAAGATACTTTAAAGCTATACCAATTTTTGAGATACCAATTTTTGAGATAAGGATTCACTGTGCTGGTTGTGGTGGCGCACGCCGGTAGGATTTGCTGAAGGAGTCAGAGGCAGGAGGATCACGAGTTCAAGGCCAGCCTGGGCTACACATTAGCCAGGCATTATTGGCGCACACCTTTAATCCCAGCACTTGGGAGGCAGAGGCAGGCGGATCTCTGTGAGTTCGAGGCCAGCCTGGTCTACAAGAGCTAGTTCCAGGACAGCCTTCAAAGCCACAGAGAAACCCTGTCTAGAAAAACCAAAAAAAAAAAAAAAAAAAAAAAGGATTCATTGTACTGTCCAGTTTACTTTGGACTCCAGGGATTGTGACTCTCTCACTTCAGCCTAAGAAGCTGGAAATATAGGTACACACCAATTAACCTGCTGCTGCAGGCAACTCAGTTTGATTGTTTTTTTATGGTTATTTTTATTTAAGGACCAGTTACCTGAATAACATAAGTGCATGAGAACAGGAGCAAAATAAATTCCTAGTTACTGAAGCACAGATTTCTTCTCCTAGCAAAGCATGCAAAACCCACACACATTGTAGATCCAAGACAAAATGTGGATGTAGAGTGCAACCGTTTAAGAATATATTGTAAATATACAAAACTGACTAGAAAACTCCAAGCTTGCCGGGCGGTGGTGGTGCACACCTTTAATCCCAGCACTCGGGAGGCTGATGCAGGTGGATCTCTGTGAGTTCGAGACCAGCCTGGTCTACAAGAGCTAGTTCCAGGACAGCCTCCAAAGCCACAGAGAAACCATGTCTTGAAAAACCAAAAAAAAAAAAAAAAAAAAAAAACCTCAAACTGCAAGCTACTTTTCAAATCATCTCTCAATCTTGTTTCACCTCATTCACAAAAGAAACTTAAAGTAGCTTGCCACAATGTAGTTTAATGACATACTTGAATTAGTTCAGCCCAAAGGACTACCTCATGAGATAGGGAATATTAAAATACTTTAGGGAGTTCCTCTCCCCGCTCTGATTCATCACTATAAAACCAAAGTGAATACAGCAGCTACACTTATGATGTTCCTAGAGCAGCTATGCCAGGGTGCACTCTCTGGTGTTTGGTTAGAGCAGAGCGATACCTGAAGGCTTTTCCACAGTCATCACACCCAAAAAGCTTCTCTCCTGAATGAATCTTCTGATGCTGAATGAGGTATGTGCTCTGGCTGAAAGTCTTTGGGCATTCATGACAGTTGTAAGGTTTTTCTCCAGTGTGAGTACTCTGATGTTCAGTTAGGTACATGCTCTGGGTAAAGGATTTGTCACACTCATTGCACTTATAGGGCTTCTCTCCTGTATGAATTTGCTGATGCTGAGTCAGATGGGAGTTCTGGCTAAAGTTTTTTTCACATTTGTTACACTGGTAGGGTTTTTCTTCTGTGTGTGTTTTTTGATGTTGTGCAAGAGATGAACAGTGTCGAAAGGTCTTGCCACACTTGGGACATGAATATGGCTTTACTCCTGTATGAATTCTCTTGTGTTGTGTAAGGTGTATTTTCTGATTAAAGGCTCTCCCACATTCATTACATTTGTAAGGTCTTTCACCAGTATGGATTTTCTTATGCTGAATAAGTGATGAGCCATAGCTGAAGGTTTTCCCACATTCATGACACTGATAAGGCTTCTCTCCAGTATGAATTCTTTCATGCTTAGCAAGAGATGAACTCCGAATAAAGGCTTTCCCACATTCCTTACATTCATAGGCTTTCTCCTGGGTGTGAGTTTTCTGATGCTGATTAAGGTTTGACAGATAACTGAAAGCCTTCCCACATTCACCGCACTCAAAGGGTTTCTCTCGAGTGTGAATTCTCCGATGCTGAGTAAGGGATGAGCAGTAACTGAAGGCCTTTCCACAATCACTGCATTTGTACGGCTTCTCTCCTGTATGAATTTTCAGATGTTGAGCAAGGGATGACCAATAACTAAAGGATTTTCCACACTCTGCACAATCATAGGGTTTCTCACCAGTGTGTGTTTTTTGATGTTGAGTCAGGTTTGAGTGCTGACTGAAGGCTTTTCCACATTCATTACATTCATAAGGCTTTTCCCCAGTATGAATCATATGGTGCCGGATAAACGTTGAAGGCCCATTGAAGGCCTTGCCACACTCATTACACTTATAGGTTTTCTCTCCAGTATGAATTTTTTGATGTTGAGTAAGGTGTGTGCTCCTGGTGAAGGTTTTTTCACATTCTTCACATTTGAAAGGTTTTTCTCCTGTATGAATTTTCTGGTGTTCCATAAAGTGACCTCTCTGGCTGAAGGATTTTCCACACTCATTACAAGTGTATGGTTTCTCACCAGTGTGAATTCTCTGATGCTGAACAAGATGGGTCCTCTGACTAAAGGCTTTCCCACATTCATCACATTTGTAGGGCTTTTCTCCAGTATGAATTCTTTGATGTTGAGTGAGAGATGGACCCTCAATGAAACCCTTTCCACATTGGTCACACTTGTATGGTTTATCTCCTGTATGAATTCTTTGATGATTTATAAGGTTTTCACTTCGGCTGAAAGCTTTGTTACATTCATTACATTTATAGGGTTTTTCTCCAGTATGTGTTCTTTGATGGCGAATGAGAGCAGAACAATAAGTAAAAGCTTTACCACATTCATTGCACTTACACGGCTTCTCTCTTTTGACGGGGAGTGAATTCTGCTTAGCTCTTGTTTTCGTGGAAGTTTGTTCTAGAACTACTTCTGTTTCTGTCACAAGGCTTGAGCTCACACCGAGACTGTTCTCACAAATGGGGGCTGTTTTCTCAGTTATTTTTATTTCCTGTGGCAGAGTCTGTTGGTTTGCCAGAAGGTTCTGTAAACTTCCATCGGATTTCCACGTTTCTATGACACTGAAGCTGCAATCATCCCTTCTGTAATTGTTTATTACTGCCTTTGAAGACAGATTTTCTTCAGAAATGTCAAGTTCTAGGGGTGACACACTATTTTCAGGTCTTATCTTCCAGTCTGAAAGAAAATAAAATGCCAGTATTTTTTGGACAGAGCAAAAGAATATTGCCATTGTTGGAGATTATCTAATACTTTGAGGGTTCTCAAATACATAACATTATTTGGGAAGAAAGTAGAAAGAGATAAGGAGAATAAACTAAAACTCAAAAGAAAATCCTTACTTCAATTTCATAGACAGTCTCCAAGGACAAATAAGAATGACATTTAAAGTGATAGTTAAATTTTAAGAGGTGAGCTGGGTATGGTGTTACACACCTTTAATCTTAGCACCTGGAAGACTGATGTAGTACTACCACAATGGTGGCCTCCATCTCATTGCAAGTGACACCCTCCTTCAGTGGTCTAAGTATCAGCCTGACCCCATTGCTACAAGGTTGGCTACAGTCACTGAAGACTTTCGTCCACAACAAACCCCATGTAAATGTGAGTAGCACTGGCCATGTGGAATTCCATGTAAGACCATCATGACTACAGCAATCATAAAAATTCTTGCCAAGGAGGTAGGGTTAAGTTCAAGAAGTATGAGGACAGAGACAATGTCTCAGAAGAGAGAGTTTGGGTTTATTACTATCAGTGCAGCCCATGTGGAGTACAGTACTCCTGCCTGCCACTATGCCCACAAAGACTTCCTCAAGCATGGCACATTGCTTAAAGCATATGATCACAGCACTGCCTCTCTGCATCCTGACTGTGGCAGGTGATGATGGCCCCATTCTCAGACACAAGAGCACAATGGCTAAACAGATTGGGGCCAAGCATGCTATGATGTATATGAACAAGGTAGACACTATGGAGGGCTCATAGATAAAGAGAACTAGCACAGCTGAAGATCTAGAAGCTGTTCACCTTGTTTGGCTTTGAAGGAGAGGGAACTCCAGTCATTTCAGGCTCTGTGCTCTCTGTGCCTTTGAACAATGTGATTCTGAATTAAGTGTGAAGTCAGTGCAGAAGGTGTTGGATGCTGTGGACCCTTACATCCTGGTGTGTTGGGGAAGTCCTTCTGTGTATATGTTTGATTGGTGTAAATAAAGCACTGTTGGCCAATAGGGAAGCAAAATAGGTGGGACTAGGAGTCTAGGAGGATTCTGGGAAATGTAGTGAAGTGAGTCGTCACCATGAAGAAAGAACACAAGTCTGGTGTTCTCTGAAAGATAAGTCCTTAAAGAAATATATATTAGTAATTATGGGTTAATAATTAAGCCAGAGCTAGCTGATAAGAAATCATAGCAAACGGCCAACAACTTCATAATTAATATAGCATCCTGTGTGTTATTTGGGGGTTGAGACAGCTCAGTAGGGCCCAGGCATCTGGTGGGAAGAATACACGTTACACTGGTGCTCACCTGGGACCTGGAGAAACCCTTTCTATTACCCATAGAGTCAGTTTACTCTATTCCTGGCTGGGACACAGTGGTAAGAGGTACATCAGAGCATGGTATTTTGGAGACAGGAGATGTGTATGAATTGCTGGGATAAAACACATACATTCCCTCTGTGATGAAGGGCGTTGAGACGTTCCACAAGAGCTTGGAGAAGACTAAGGCAAGGGATAATCTGGGCGCTCTGCTCCAAAGTACAGGCATGAGGATCTGAGCATAGATTAGTCAGTCACAGCTAAGCCAGGCTCTACCCAAAAAGGGTGGAGGCCCATGGTTATATCCTCAGCAAGAGGAGGGTGGCCACCACAGCCCCTTTGTGTCTATTTTATGCCTGCCATGTTCTCTCTGACTTGGGGCATGGCTTATCATGCCTGGAGAGGACCTGAATCTCATCCTATGCTTGTGGCAGCCCATGTTCTTAAAGAAAGGCCAGCACTTCACCTTGCAACAAGGCCACTGGCACTGTACCCATCACTGAAACACCTGCCATGACAAAGGAGAACAGAATCTCAAATGGAGATGAGCTACTAAGGTTCTTGAGCTTAGGGCTGCCCTGGTCAGTATTTCTTCCTGTGGACACAAGCTGCCTCCAAGCAGAGTACAATGGAAATATCTGCTCACAAGAAGTGACTTGCCAATTGAGGTAGGCAAATAAACTGTTCCATGAATGTAGAAAAAAAATGTAAACAGAGACGACAAAGGATACAAAGAAAAGGATTGACTTTACAAGACGCAGTATGAATTGAAATTCCTCGTTAATGAACAACAAAGCAAAGGGTGCAGATGCAAACTCCAGACAAACAGCAGAGAATTAAGACTCATAAATAGCGAGGAAATAATTATTGTATGAAAGATAAAAAAATTCAAGTCTACCATTTTGGAATTTGGAAAAAAATGGAGGACTACATGGGTATAGGAGTGGAAGATGCCAAACGCAGCATGATAATAGGATGTCTATGTGTAAGACACAAAATTCCAGCTTAAGAGGAAAAGGAAATAGTTGAAGCCCACAGGAATGTGAATGAGAATAGGAAATAGGTGAGGAAGATCCTCAAGGGTGATAGAATAAAATACTCCTCCAGTTGCACTAGTAACAGGAAGGTAAGAAAAGACACTGTATTGTAAGTCCAGTCACAACTACAGTAAACATGAACAGAATGGCTGCCCACTATCTCCTCCCCATATCTCCACAGATAATGGGATAGTGTATATCAGTGTAGGTAGCCTCATAGTGGCAGAACTTCTTCAGCAAAACCACCGTCACTCTGGCACAGCTTTAGCAATGTGTTTCAGACATATGCTTTCACCAAAAGGAATAATACCCAGGGAAATGTGTTTGCATAGTAAATAATCATAAAGAATATCTTCTGAGGCTAAGGAAATAAATGCCTTAATCAATGAAGGTGCCTGCTCTGCTGGGCCTGACAGTGAGTCCAATCCCCATGACATAGAATAAGAGAACTGAGTAGTGCAAGCTGTCCTCTGACCTCCAAATAAACACATGCACCCCTACACACACACAATTTAAATGCAATAAAGGATATCTTCTAGATGTATTGTAGGGTGAAGCACATGAGGGTCATAGAGTCTTGTGCTGTTAAGAAAGAGAAAAGTGTTTGATAACCAATCACAAGTGTGAAATGTATGAAGGTAAAGTGATACCAACCACAACCAATGTTCACACAATGTCATATTCTCTATTCAACAACCAAGAGAATACCAAGGATAGGAATGAAGGATTAGAGAAAGTTCTAGAAGAACATGCTGATTACTCCTACAAGAGCTACCTATACTTTACTACATACAAAAACCTATGGGCACTGGCCAACATATTCCTATACTCAGTATGTGGCAAAGTAATTGAGGATGTTGATAACCAGCTCACAAAAAAAAACCAAGCAGACCAGTGAGAAAAAACACACATCAGGGTTACAGGTCTCCAAGACATCCTCAGGAAGGAGGCAATGGGAGGCTGGAGAGGTAGCTCAGTTAAGACAACTTAATATTCTTGAAGTGGGCCTGGGTTTGGTTCCAGCATCTATATAGTGGCTCATAATTGCCTGAAACTCCAGTTCTGGGGTATCTGACACCCTCTTCTGACCTTTGTGGACACCAGGCCCTGAGGTGGTAAAGAAGCATACATGTAGGCAAAACACTCATAAACAGGCCGGGCGTTGGTGGCGCACGCCTTTAATCCCAGCACTCGGGAGGCAGAGGCAGGCGGATCTCTGTGAGTTCGAGGCCAGCCTGGTCTACCGAGTGAGTTCCAGGATAGCCTCCAAAGCCACAGAGAAACCCTGTCTCGAAAAAACCAAAAAAACAAAAAAAAAAAACCAAAAAAAAAAAAACCACTCATAAACATAAAATAAAATGTCTAAAAAAAGAATTGTTGATGCTGAAGATAGCTTAGTGGTTACAAACACTGGCTAGAGTTCTGGGTTTGATCCCTAGAACCAACATGAGGTTCACAACTATTTTTACCCCAGTCCCAAGGAACCAATGCTTTCATCTGAACCTCAAGGGCAGTACATGAATGTGGTGGCAGAAATACATGTAGGAAAAACACACATACAGACAAAATGTAAAAACTGTTATCCCCAGAAAGTTATCTTTTCAAAAATTTCAAGACAAGCATGTGGTAGTTTGAAGTAATTGGCCCCCATAAGCTCATAGGGAGTGGCACTATTAGGAGGTGTGACTTTGAAGTAGGTATGGCTAGGTATGACCTTGTTGGAAGGTCTCCTATGCTCAAACTACACCTAGTTCAGTTTACTTCCTACTGCCTTCAGGTCAAGATGTAGGCTCTCAGCTCCTTCTTCACACCATGTCTGCCTGCATGCTGCCATGTCCTGCTATGATGATAATGGACAAAATATCTGAAATTGTAAGCCACCCCAATTAAATGTTTTCCTTTGTATGAGTTGCCATGGTCATGGTGCCTCTTCACAGTGATAGAAACCCTAACTAAGACAAAGCACAACCTAAAGCAATTATGATACTGCAGAACACACTAAAGGGATACAATATGCAAGAAAAGGGGAAGCAGCACAAGAGTACATGAAACAATACATTTTTTCATGACAGGAACAGATGCACAAATGGGAGTCAGGAACTCCAGGTAGGGGACAAAGAAAAGAACTATAGCAACAATCCAGTCAACCAGAACAACCAATAAAACCATAGGACATTGTAAACTCTCCAATAATAACTTCAAACACAAATGGCCTCAACTCACCAATATAAAAAATACAACTGACTAGATTACAAAACAAGATCTATTTGTTGTCTATTAGAAACATACTTTCCTTTCAGAGGCACTCATAAGCAGTTTCCAAAGGATGGAAATCAACCTACCAAGCAAATACAAACTTTTCACTTCCTCTGTAGATTAGATTGGCTTCAAATTCAGAGATCAACCTGCCTCTGCCTCCCAGTGCTGGGATTAAAGACATGCACCACCCCCACTACCACTTGCTAAACAAATGCAAACTTACATTAAACTAGCATAGCCATTCTGATATTGGATAAAGTAGACCTCAAAATAGAATAGATAAAGAAGGCCACTGCATTAATTAACAAAGGCAATATATTAAGGAGATATAATATATGTTTGGGTTCCCAGTTTAATGTAACAAATACTAAAAGGGACGAAAGGTCATATAGGTCTTCATACAGAAATATGGAAACACTTCAATAATCCACACTCATCTTTAGGTATGTCTTCCAAATTAAAAAAAATCACCAAAGAAACTTTCAAGCTAAATTAGACCTTGTATCAGTTGGCTTTAGATCTCTACACAATTCTACCCATCAGACACAGAACGCACATTCCATTCAGCAGACCTTGAAATCATCTTAGAGGCCACAAGCAAGTCTTAACACAAAGGGATCATAATTAATTCATTGTATCTCATCATGTCATAATGGAATAAATCTGGAAACCATCAACATGAGAAGCCACAGAAACAACATAAATTCTTGGAGACTGAACAAGACACTTGTGAACAAACAGTTGGGTCATTGAAGAAATCAAGGAGGAGGAAATAAAGAACTTTCTAGAATCAAAAGAAAATGATAGCACAATTTACCAGAACTTCTACTTCTTGGATAGGACTAAGGCAATTCTAAGTTCACTGCCCCCTAAAAAAAAAAATCAGAGGAGGGGCATCACACATGCATACCCACAAGCTGATATTCACACCCACACATAATTTAAAAGACAAATAGCAAACAAATAATATGATATACCTCAGTCTGTCTCTCTCTCTCTCTCTCTCTCTCTCTCTCTCTCTCTCTCTCTCTCTCTCTCTCACACACACACACACACACACACACAATTAAGTTTTAAAATTATGTGTATGGGCATATGTACGTGGGTACCTGAGTCCATAGAGGCCAGAGGTGTCAGATTCCTTGGATCTGGGGTTAAGGTGGTTGCAAGCTACCTTACGAAGCTACTAGGAACTGAACTTGGGTAGTCTGGAAGAGCATCAAGCTCTCTTAACCCCTAAGCCATCTCTCCTGCTCCCAACTTCAAGGTTCTAGAAAAAAATAATAAAATTAAATTAAAAAAAAAAACAGAAACCAAAAACAACAAGCTTTAGTAATTTTTTGTTAACTTGATATACGCTAGACTAATCTGGGAAGTGGAACTCTCCTTCAGCTGAGGAACTGCCTGGATCAGGCTGGCCTGTATACAAGTCTATGGGGGCATTTTTGTGGTTAACATTAACTGGGAGGACCAAGCCCACTGTGGATGTTGCCACCCCTGGGCAGGTGGTCCTGAGTTGTAGTAAAAAGCAAGCTGAATGAGCTATGGAAAGCAAGTCAGTGGTCCTCCATGGTTTCTGCTGTAGTTCCTGCTTCCAGCTTCCTATACTGTTTTGAGTTTCATCCTTGGCTTCTCAATAATGGACGGTGACCAGGAAGTTTAAGCTAAAAAAAACCTTTTCCCTTCCCAAGTTATTTTTGTCATGATGTTTATTACACCAATAGAAAGCAAATGAGGACACAGGCCAAGCCAAAAAGCACATGACTAGAAATAATGATTATGACTGAAATTAATGAAACAGGAACTTAAAAGGACAATGTATAAGTCAAAGAGTTAGTTTCTTGATGAGATAAATAGATTGACAAATCTCAAGCCAAATCAACAAAAGAAACAGAAGATGCACATTTGCAAAGTTAGAAATTCAAAGGAACTGTTTACAAAAGACACCAATGAAATCCAGAGGATCGGGGCTGGAGAGATGGCTCAGTGGTTAAGAGCTGTTCTTCCAGAGGACCTGGGTTCAATGCCCAGCACCCACATGGCAGCTCACAACTGTCTTTAGCTTCAGTTCCAGGGGATCTGATACCTTCACACCAATGCACATAAAATAAAGTTAAATAAATTAAAAAGAAGAAGAAGAAAAAAAAAAAGAAATCCAGAGGGTCATTAGGGAACACATTGAAAATATATTCATAAAATCTAGAAAACGTTAGGAAGGGATAAATCTCTAAATGCATGTAAGTTAGGAAAATGAAGTTAAGCAATGTTTGCAGACCCATAACAGTAACAATATTGAGACAGTTATTAAAAGCCTCCCCACAAGGAGAAGTCTAGGACCAAATACACCTATTGCTGAATTATACCAAACTTTAAAGGAAGAGTTAACACCTATCTTTTCAAACTGTTCCACAAAGCAGAAAAGAAGGGAAATACCATCAAACTCATTTTACAAAGCTAGTCTTACTCTACTATCAAACCAGATAAAGACAAAACAATAACAAGGTATAGACTAATTCCCCTGATAAATATAAGTACAAAAACTTGGAACAAAATACCTGCTAGCCAAATTCAAGAACACATTAAGATCATACATAGCAACCACACTGTTTTTTATGCCAGGGATGCAAGGCTGATTCAATATATACAAATCTGGGAATAAAATAAGACATAAATAGACTAATGACAAAAACCACATGGTCATCTCAATAGATGCAGAAAAGGCATTTGAAAAAGTTCAACATTCCTTTTCCATGAGTCCTCAAGAAACTTAGAATACAAGGAACATAATGGTGTTGCAAATGTCCATTTCATCTTTTTTTCTTCTTTTTGGTTTTCTAAACAGGGTTTCTCTGTGTAACAGCTCTGTAGACCAGGCTGGCCTTGAACTCACAGAAATCTGCCTACCTTTCCCTTCTAAATGCTGGGATTAAAGATGTACACCACTACTTCCTGGCTATGGTTTCATTTTCTCTATGGATGAATAAATCTCCACTGTATAGATATATCACATCTATCACATTTTCTTTATCTATTCCTGTGTTCATGGGCATCTAGACTATTGTGACTAGTATATCAAAAAGTGACTAGGTTATTTCAGAGTCAGGACCTGAAGAAATTCCTTGTGCAGTTTGGAAACTGATGACTTAGAAGAAAACTATTCAGAATCTCAAGGACAGAATGATAAAGTGACAAAATATGAAACTATGCATGAGAGTAAGAAGAGAGTAAGTGCTTAAAAAAAAACGGCTGCAGGTGTGGAACTCACTTGTTTCCGTTTGGTTGGGAACAAAGAAAAGAATGAGAGCAAGTGTTGAGGGAAAACACCTTGGAATAGCACAAGTTTAGTTTGATGATGGCAGAGATGGAATCCTAAAACAGAAAGCGAGGGGACAATCCTGGGTCAAAAGAAAGTGGGAAGAGGGAATTCAGAGTGCAGGTTGAGAGGTCTGCTTTACAACAGTCAGGATGGCGCCTCTGAAGAGAATGTAAAATGGAATCTCATCTCACCACAGGAGATGCTCTGAGTGCACAACTACAGACTCACTTCTCACCAGGGTGGCAGCTGCTGTGTTGAGAGCAGTGTTGTCACACAATACTTACCTTCCATGGAACCAACAGGAATGCATGACTCCTCAATCCATGGCTCTGTCCCTTGTTCTAGCTGGGAAATCATATCAGGTTTGGAAACCTGGAGTCCTGCTCAGAGGGGGGAAAAAAAGGAATCTGTCTGCAATAAGGAAAAAGTTCTGTATCAGAATGCAATCTCACCACTCTGTTTCCAAGATATTCCACATGGGAAAATTCTGGTGGGATGAATAGCATGCCAGCTGTCATGAACAATGGGGCAACTGAGAAGCCGATCTGAAGAGAGAATGATTAGTCGGCTGTTCCACTTAATAAGGAGAAACTTTCCAAATTTAAAACTGTTGACTCCTAAACTAAGCACAAGAGATAATGTGCTTCCCACATCCCATCTAAACTTGGGGTCACCCTCATCTACAGAGACCAAGTGTGTACCTTCCTCCCCCATACCCCATCAAAACTTAGGGCTACCATTACCAACAGAGATGAGGTGTGCATTTACTATATAAACTTAAGGTTTCCCTTACTTACAGAGACCAGGTATATACCCTCTCCCCACTTCCTGATCTTAACTGGTGGGCATCACCCTCACCTATAGAGACCAGGTGTGTATAATTTTCCAATGTCACATCTCTGAACAAATCTCTTTGTGTAGGATCCAGGTGTCTCCATTCTTCCTGGGTGAAGTTCACGACAACATCCTTAAAGGTCACTGATTCCTAAAACATCAAGTATTCTATTGCTTAGCCTTAGGAAACAGATAAAATTGATAATATCCACAGAAAGGCAGGTAATAAAAGTGATACTAGTATGTTCCTAGGATGTCCACTTCAGGAAAATTTAAAATATTACTGTTGTGGAATATTTGTACACTGTGTAAAAGTGTATTGCTGTGATTAGTGCAATAAAAAGCTGAACAGCCAATAGCTAGGCATGAGGCAAAGGTGGGACTTCCAGACAGAGAGAGAACTCTGGGAAGAAGAAGGCCAGAGGCTGCATGGGCAGTATGGAAAGATGAGGTAACAGGCCAGAATGTAGATTAAAATAAATAGGTTAATTTAAGTTATAAGAGCTACTGAGGACTGACCTTGTATTAAATAACTGCCTGCTGCAGTTATTTATTCTGGCATTGAGGTGTGGGTGGAAGCCCTTGCTTGTTCTTGCTTGTTTTTTAATCTGATAAATCTATACAATCATTACTGAATTGTCTAAACAGTACCTGTTACAGTACTTTTTTGGAGCAAATCAAAGACCAGAACTTAAATTCTCATTTTAGAAATGGGATGAGTGGTAGAAAGACAGTTCTTAATGATGTGGACAGAACTCTCTCCACTGCAGTGTGTAGAAGTGTAGTTTTTCTCCGCCAACCGCTTGGGCTCTGCCACAGTTGCAGTCCCCAAATAACACACAGGAGGCTATATTAATTATGAAGCTGTTGGCCGTTTGCTTGTTTCTTACTGGGTAACCCATAATTGTTAATCTAAGTATTTCTCCGGAGAAAAGGGTCCAGACATCTTACTTCTCTGGCAGGCTACATTGTCTCCCTGTGTTTCTCTTTCCCAGAATCCTCCTTGACTCCCAATCCCACCTATCTTGCTTCCCTATTAGCCAACAGTGCTTTATTCAACAACCAATAAAAGACAGATTTACAGAATGGCATCTCCCATCACTTATCAGCAGAGTATGGGCAAGGCCCTAGGTTCAACCCTCAGCACCAAAAACCAAAAACCAAACTCTTCTTCCCTGTGAAAGGCTTAATTTAGGCATCTAAGTAAGCACTCAGTCTACTGACCAATGCTGCCCTTGTTCCTCCTTACCTCTGAGTTGTAAGACAGCAAATATTAGTACTATAACTGCCATCATTAATAACATATTTACTATATATAATGTGCAGAAATATCCCACAACTTTATGACAAAATGGGATGGATGAGGAGACTTACCCTATTACATGTTTCTTTGTTTGTGTGTGGGGTGGGGGGTTATTGAGACAGGGTTTCTATGAGTGACAATCCTAGCTGTCCTGGAACTCATTTTGTAGGCCAGGCTGGCCTCAAACTCAGAGATCACCTGCCTTTATCTCTCCAGTGCTAGGACTAAATGCATGTGCCATCACACCCAGCTGCCCTATTACATTTCAAAGTACATCAAATTGTAAAGTAACTGAAACAGTGCCATGTTATAAAATAAAATTCAATAAGAAGACGACAACTCAAAATAGGCCCATGTGTTTTAAAAGCTGCATAGGATTAAGAATTTTCAAATTAACTAAGATACGATGGATTAATCACTAAATTATACCATTACAATTAACTTGGCAAAAATAAAACTAAAAATAAAGTAAGACCTTCACATCTTAAAAACACCTAAGCCAGGCGTTGGTGGCGCACAGCTTTAATCCTAGCACTTGGGAGGCATAAGCAGGCAGATCTCTGTGAGTGAGAAACCCTGTCTCAAAAAACCAAAACCAAAACAATACAACAACAACAAAATACCCAGATATTCCTATTGGCTGAATGATAATGTTGTGGGGTCTCTGGTTTGAGAGACTGTCCTGCTATATAATTCTGGCTGGCATCTGCCTCTCAAGTGCCGGAGATCAATGGCCTGTGCTACCACTCGCAGTTTCACTTTGGATTTTTTGTCTCTATGGTTTTGAACAAACTAAGATTCTATAATTGATTATAGTAAAAATAGAAAACTAACATATATATTGAACACTTCACCCAATATAAGCAAATTTACCTTCCTATACAGCATTCTCTGGTCATCCATAAGGTGGCTCATTTTCTGAGCAAAAAAAGTCAAAATGAATCTTAGTAAATTTAAAAGGATTCAAGTCACGCAAAGGTGTTCTCTTGACTATGGATATGCTCACTAACTACTTGAAACATAATGATGTTTTTATGAACTTCCATGTACGTTAAAACTTGTCCAATTACAGATGGTCTGTGCATCTGTGGATTCAACCAACTATAGATTAAGTATATTCAAAGAATATACACAGATACTGTTTTTGTCACTATCCCCTAAATAATACAGAACAACTACATAATATTTATACTGTATTTACACAGTATTTACAATGCATTAGATACGTAAGTATCTAGGATGACATACACAGGAGGATGTGAACAGACTATATGCAAAGATTGTGCCATCTGGATCTCTGTGAGTTTGAGGCCAGCCTGGTCTACAGAGCGAGTTCCAGGACAGCCTCCAAAGCCACAGAGAAACCCTGTCTCGAAAAAAAAAAAAAAAAAGATTGTGCCATCTAAGTGAGGGACTCAAGGATCTACATGTTTTGGAATCAACTGTTAGGGGTTCTAGAACCAATTCCTCTAGGATACAGAAGAATGACAATATACTTTAAACACATGCTAAAAGTACTTATGTTGAAATTGGGAATAACTGGGGTGGGTGGGCTGAGTAAGAAGAGGAAACCTTCTGAAGGGAGGTTTTGAGGTTAATTAAAGTCCATGGAAAAAATTCCTTCCTTCCAACTAAGTTCTAAAGATAGATTTTTCCATCAGCTGTATCAGGTCATTTTTCCTACATTAAAATCTATTATGGCTCACAGATGACATAGAGAATAAAGCCTTTGAACTTCTCATTAGATATTAAAGATCTTTCATATTGACTGAACTCAGTTATTTTTTAATTTTCCAAAATAAGCCATTTCTTCCAAATCTTTGTGAATCTATATGACTGTTAGCAGAGCTTACCTGCACACCTCTGCTTATAACTTTCTCCATACTTAGACTCAGTTTCTCACTCCAATATTGAAACATCACTTGTGCTTCAGAGAATACAATTCCACATTGCCCAGGCAACTCTCTGTCCCTTGCAATCAACACACACCTCTCCATTCCCTCAGATCTACAGCACTCATTTCACCCTCCATAAATTTGTCAGTTTTGATTTTCATTGGCCAATTTACTCTATTCAAGTAAATAATTAAATGCTGTGCGTCTTCCCACCCCCAGCAGTAATACAAGATGCTAGGTAAGAGGTAAATGGTGAATGCATCCTTGAAACTGGAGAGGCACAGTGGGATCCGGTGAGATCACAGGACAGATGAGAGCCCAGAAAGATTTACCAATGAGGATTTGGGGGTAAACACACCTCCCAATAAAAGACGTATTATTCTGAGAAGTGACATGGCATTTGAGAAAATCTCAACTTACCCGTAAACTAGTTGATGGGAGTAGAGGATGTCCCTCGTGGAGACTGGCCGAGTCTGCAAAGGACAGGCCTAAGGAGGAAGAGGCAATGGTGAGTCTGACTATTCTGTTGTGGCCAGCAATCCAGACGAACTCACTTGTCTTCCTAAAGATAACAACCATATCTCCCCTTCCTTTATGTCTGAATTCCCCCAAGCCCCGAAAAGATTCAACTGAGTCCTCTGTACTGTCCTGAGTATGCTCAGGAGGAAAAAAACCACTGCCTTAAGATTCAGCTTTGTCTCTCTCTTTCTCTCTCTCTCTCTTTTGGTTTTTCGAGACAGGGTTTTTCTGTATTGTTTTGGAGGCTGTCCTCGAACTCTCTCTGTCGAGCAGGCTGGCCTCGAACTCACAGAGAACCGCCTCTGCCTTCCGAGTGCTGGGATTAAAGGCGTGTGCCATCAACGCCAGGCTTCAGCTTTGTCTCTTAATATTTAACCATTCACACTGATCATACAGCTAAATCTGATGTCTTCCTTAAGTGAGGCAAGACACTCCTGCTGTCTTTTCTCTGCTATACATAAAATGTCAGTAAACAGCAGGGTATGAAGGTACATGCCTTTAATCCCAGCACCAAGGAAGTAAAAACTTGTGGATCTCTGTGATTTATCGACACATACAATGGACACACTTGTGCAAACACACATACCTAAAGACATGTAGGCAAACATTCATACATATAATATAAAAATAAATATAAAATTTTAACAAAAGCGTTTGAGGGAAAAATAGTAACATATATTCCCAGGTATTTTTAAAAGAAATGTGATAACTAGGAAATGCTTTGTCAGAAGTCTAGAGACCTTACATGGACCTATCAAAAGAAATGAGGCCAGGCTACTGAAAGAGAACTTGGGAGGAATTCTAACAGCTGAATTCACAAGTAAGGGTAGCATTATGAAAGAACGGACAGTCTGTAGGGCTTTTAAGATCTACACAGAAATTACAGAAATAGGCACTTTGGGTAAAAGGAGCTAAAAAAACCAAGGATGTTGTTTGCACCCAAAATGGCCAGTTTAAGGCCGCACTTGCTCCGGCACAAGCTTGAAAAATTGCTCTCTGCAAGATATTCCATAAACTTATCCTTGTATTGACGAGACAGAACACTGTTTCCTTTTTTCCTGACTACAATTTATTATTCTAAAACGCAATTAAGAAAAGTATCAAGAGGATCATACATTCTAAGCTGCTGTTCCTTTTCAAATTCTCAAGTCCAGGGGACAGAATTAATTCTTCCAAGTCTCTTTCGGTTATGTAATTAGGTTTCTTTATCCTTAACCACATTGCTTCCTCCTCCCCCCTTTCCTCTCAGTTCGGCCCCCACCAGCGGGCTCTGTCCCCATTACCTGCCATCTCGGGAGCTTTTCGTGTTAAGCTAGAATTTAGACACGTGGATACCCAGGCAGCTTCAGTCTGGGGCTTGAATGTCCCGCTCCCCTTCCAGGGTGGGTGCCTTATGCCCTCCGAGGGTGGCCGACAAGGTACAGGATGCAGTCCGCGACTCACGCCTTACAGTCGCATCTTAGACTCCTACAGAGTAGCCAGGAGGTCCTATCCAGGAGCGGAGAGCACAGGGAGGGTTGGATTACTACAGAGAAACACGCAGTGGAAAGGGAGGGAGTTCCTCTGCCTTGTAGCAGCGACTCTACCTAGAGTCTGACTAGGCCCCCTCCACCTGGTCCGCGACCTCCTATTTCCCCCGGCGGAGGCCAGACACACCTGTTGCGGGACACACCAGAAGGCGGGCTGCCCCGCACCTCAGCTAGCCCGGCCCAGAACAAAGGAACAAAGCCTTGGGAAACGAGCGGGCACCGGCATCGCCGAGCGGAGGCGCGCCCCCTTCCCTGACTCCCCGGCTTTCTCCCGCGCAGGCTACATTACGCGGGCCCGCAAGGTGACGTCACGCTCCCGGAGCGCTGGCGGTTGCCATGGTGATACCTGGACTCCAGTCTAGTGACGCACTCTTTAGGATCCTGGATCCAGAAGCGTCGGATGGTCAGCAAACCTCAGTATACGAGCCTACGGCGTGAAACTGGCCAAATACCCACCTCTTTCCACGCCTACAGTCGGCTTAGCGGTCACTTCCGGTCGGGCATACCCTTCCCCTTTTTCCCCCTCCTCCCTCCAACACATAAGAGCGCCTTATCCGGGAGCACAAAGGACCACAATTCCCAGAATGCAACGCGTAGCGTTTCTGAATTACTTTTCCCGGGCTTCCACTAACGTTGCTGTCCGACCTAGTCGGTCGGGAGGTTAAACCTACCTGCTATTTGTGTCTGATTGCTTGGTTTGTGAGCAGAGGTAGTCATACTTCTCTTTGTAACAAAGATACACACACCTGCAGAGTTTTGGGTCGGGGATGTTGGTGCAGGGCCTTCAATTCCTGATCCACCTTCTGCACCTCCCAAGGGTTAGGATCTCCTGCACTGAGAATTTCAAAACCATTCCGCCCTACTTTCATTACCTGACCTGCATTCTTTATGTGATTTTTGTAGTTTTGAAAATATCTATCGTTACTTATTGAATTGTTTTTATGTCTTCGAAAAACGATCCACATTTTTTTTAAATACTAAAGGAAGCGGAAGGAGGTGGTGTTGCAGTATTTTAATGTTCTCTGCATATTTTTTTGCCTAGCACCTAAGGTGAATCTCCCGATGTGCCCATGACATACATAAAAGACTTCAACAAATAGGTTTTTATATTTCAAATGCCCATGCAACTAAAGGCCTCTGTATGTCCCCAGTTTTTTGATAGAAGGGCTAAATTGGCACCCTTCCTTGGCTGACAGCACCAGACCCGGAAATGTTAATGCTACACCTGAGAAAGTTAAGGAAAGGGACTGATATTTAGAGAAACGGTTGCAACAAGACATTAGATAAAAAGTAAATGCAAACGTAGTAAGCATGTTTGTTTTTTTAAGATTTGATTTTATGTCTGTATTTGTACATGTTTGTGAAGCTGGCATACTTCAGTGATGTTGGAGCCCCTGAAACTGGAGTTACACGAGATTGTGACTAACTGGACATGGTTACTAGAAACCCCTGAACTATCTCTGTAATCCCCAGCAAGTATGTTTTAAATGTGACAACTATTGAAGGCATATTGCAGAAAAATGAATTGCTGGCGAGGAACAATACAGGATACTCTATAAAAGGCATTTATATAATTTCAAAGAAAATGAAATTGAGTAAAAGAAAGGAATAGACACAAAGGACAGAAAACAGAAAGCTGAAGTGTGCATAATAGTCAGGTAGGAGAGATCAGATAAAAACCAGTTGTCAACACTTCCTGTGTGCCAGGCAAGGTACCAAGTATCTTGCATCTAGTAACTTAATTCTTTTTTTTTTTTTTTTGGTTTTTTTTTTTTTTTGGTTTTTCGAGACAGGGTTTCTCTGTGGCTTTGGAGGCTGTCATGGAACTAGCTCTTGTAGACCAGGCTGGCCTCGAACTCACAGAGATCCGCCTGCCTCTGCCTCCCAGGTGCTGAGATTAAAGGTGTGTGCCACCAACGCCCGGCTAGTAACTTAATTCTTGAGTTAAGCAATTAAGTGGAGATATTTTTCTCTAATTATTTTTACTTTACATCAATGGATATTAAGTAACAAATAGCCTGAGTAATTTGCTTGAGGTCGCATAGAAGGCAAGAAAACAGCACCGCTGGGTTACCATGGAGAGTTGATGACCAAGTGGCTGAATTAGAAGTTTACCTAAGGCCTTTTCAGAAATAAGTATTTTTATTTCTGAGGCTCTAAATATGGGAGGCAACTTGGGTAACATGAAATTCTTGGGTCACGAATTTTCCCTAAAACTTTTCATGTTTTCCCTGTTTCTCTGGTGTAACATAAGAAAGATAAAAAGCCTCTGGCTGTTCATAGTCTGTAAGTTTTGGGTTATTGAACTTTTCCTCTCTTGTTACCTTAAACTTTTGTCAACAGCAACAATCTAATTGTCTATGAAGTGTTTATTAATGAAGTTCAGGTTTTGTTCTGCTTGCACCAGAGATAGAACCCAGTGCCTCACCATGCCAGGGAGTCGATCTACCAATGAGCCTCCACACACATAGTCAGTGTTCTTTCTTAAACTCAGGATATACTTCATGTCTACAAGGGAGACTAC